CTGAAGTTGTTGGGGTCGCTGCCTCCTTGCCGGTTAACTATGTCAGCAACTAATCTTGTGTCTCCATTTAGCTATCAGAGTGCCCCAAAAAATCTTCCAGCTTCGGTTCCCCATCATTATGGTTTTGGGGGCTCGCTATCTCTTCACTTGGGTTTTGTCGGTGGTTCATCGTTTTGCTTGCTACTTCAGATTTGCCCAGTCGATGAAAAAACCAAACCAAATCCTCAACAATTTTCTCTGGTGAGCTTTAGGTGAAGGAAATATTGAAGAATGGGGTAAGTACCTTTAGTTGTAGCGGTGGCAGATGTGGGTTGGAGAGGTAGAGAGGCCATGGTTGAAAGAGAAGAAGAGGGAGCATTTCAATACGCAGGTTTATTTTCACTTTTTAATGTAAAATATTAAAATAAAAAAATTGAATTTTTTTTGCCAGAAAAAATTTAAAATTTTATATATGCTTTGTCAACAATACACAGTCAGCAATTAAATTTGATTACTCAGCATTTTTTGTTAGCTACATTAACGGTGTAAAGTTAAAGGACTAAAAATACACTTTCTAAACTTAAAGGACCAAAATGAAACCTCATGTAAACTTAAAGGACTAAAAGTATCCTTTAGCCTTTTTATATTGACTTGAAAGGGAGTTTTGGATGGCCAGCGTCCAACGCGCTGCCATCGGACTCCTAGTGTATATATATTTTGAATTGAAAAGTGTAATCATTACAAACCAACAAAGCAACTTAAAATGAGTAAGCTCTCATCCCCGTCCATCTCTACCTAGAAAAGGCGGAGGGTGGCCGAAAGTACAAAACGGAATGTTCAAATTATGAGAAGTCTTAGCTAGGAGGTTAGCACTGGAGAGGTCTTTCCTATAAACCAAAAAAGGCAAGACCTGCCAATCCCTATTTAGAAGCAATCTATATTGTCATGAAAAGGGTGATCGCATCGCGGCCTCGCGAAACCAAATTGAAAGTAGACATCAAGGAAAGAGTGTTATCGTAGACATAATATTGAATATGATGCTTGCAATCCATTTATTCATTGGAACATCATTAGTTATGCCGAATTTTTGGGTAACAAAATCTCTTCTGTTGTCAATTTAGTGGAAATAAGTAGTCAATCAAAATAATATATATTGGATTTAGTACACAAATATGTATTTAAAAAAAACAGAGAGAGAGAGAGAGAGAGAGACAAAGCTAATGAGGAGATCTTTTCCCAATTCAACTTTGGTCACATTCAATTGGGTGGGACTTGGGAGAAAAGTCTACATGACATGGACCTCATTTATTTTTTGCAAACGGCGTTGATTAGGAGGAATTTTTTTAGATAAAAAACCATATTCATCATCATTTCGAATTGAAGAGTTTTAGGTGAACAACAATAGATGACAAAATAAAAAGAGAAACACTGAAATACGTGGACCCACTTTAAATTGAAGTGATCTTTGTCAAAATATATATATTTATATAGTCACAAAGTAAACAGCAGAGTCGAAAATTCCTCAAGAAAGATATATAGCATTGAATATGATGCTTCCAGTCCATTTATTCATAGGAACATAATTAATTAATTATGCTGATTCACTGGGGAAGCAAAATATATTGTCAATATGGTAAAATATTTAGATGGTAAGAAGTAAAGTCCACACAAGACATATATATATTTATCTTTTGAGAAACTATTTATTGATTATGCAGATTTTTATTCAGATCGATAAGCAGCGAAGTTATTTTCAAGGCAGATATCAAAGAAAAAGAGTTTTTAATGAACAATAAAATACATGAAGAGAAACTAATTAAAGAGAGGAAAACTGACATGTGGCCAGTTTGAAGTGATGTTTACGTAGAAAAAATTGTCACAAATTTAAGAGCAATGTGGAAAAGTCCTCTGGAAGTAGAAATAACGTTAAATATGATTGTGACACAAGAAATGTCTATGAGGATATAGGGAAACAGTTTCAATGCGTAGCCGCAAGGACCTCATTACAAATTTAAGATCAATGTGGAAAAAATTGTACAAATTTAAGGGCAATGTGGAAAAGTCCTCAAGAAGTAGAAATAACGTTTAATATGATTGTGACACAAGAAATGTCTATAAGATATGGGGAACGAGTTTCAGTACTGCGTGGAGGCAAGGAGCTCATCACCGCGACGCACCGTTTCATTGAAGTTAGGAATGAACTTAACCGTTCGATGATGAGCGATCTAATTGCACATAGAAATTTTGAAGGTCTAAGCCGTTTCAATCCTCTCTCTTCGTTCCCCATTCTTCTTCAGCATCGTCTTCATGTGCAAGTAAATACCTAATCAAGTGATTGGAGAAATGAAAGAGGGAGGAAGGAACCAGGGCACAACATCACCGTGTGCGGCATGCAAGCTGCTTCAAAGAAGACGTGCTACTGACTGCGTCTTCGCTCCTTATTTCCTAGCTAATGAACCCCACAAGTAAGCTAATTAAGGTCCCGTTGGGTACAAAACATTAAAAATGATGAGTAAAATTATGATTGAGATTAAAAAAAATGTTAAAAGAGTGTTTAGTATAAATAATTGTTTTTTACTTAGAATTGGCCAAATCAATATATGTGGGATTGCCTAATCTTATGCAGCAAAAAATCACTCATATGAAACACTTTTTATGCTTTTTCTCAATCCCAACCCTAATTCTTACCTTTCATTTTCAGTATTTCGGATCAAAAGGGGATCTAAATGTTCACAAAGTTTTGGAGCCAATAATGTCAACAAGATGCTTCAGCAGGTGCCTATAAAGAGTGGGTTTAGAGGATTTTGCTTGATAGTTTGGGACTTCTCTGACTCGAAAAATTCATTGTCCTGATCTGTTAGAGACATTTTTGCTGCTCCTGCTGAAGCTGGGGTAGTCGACATTGGTAATCTTCTTCAAAGAAGAAGAGAAGCAAAAATTTGGAACTTGCTCATTATTTAAAAAGAAAAAAGAAAAAGAAGAACTTGTCTTGAATGGAGGGAACTTCCTTGACTTTATCCCACAGAACGACGTCGCTTGGCAATTGAATGGGGGGAGCTCATTCTTGACTTTATTAAAACGGTGCGCATAAATGATGAGCTCTTGGTGCTCATCATCATGCTTAGCACCAAAATTTATTCCTGGGATCAGATATAGGCCTAGCGTTATAATATGATCCTTCTGACGCGACTTATTTATTTGCTTAAGAAAACGTTGATTATGCTGAATTTTTCAGGTAAAAAAATAGATTTCCTAACTAAATTGAAAGTGCACATCAAAGAAAGGGGTATTTTGTGAAAAATGTGGGAAATAAAGAAGAGAAAAACTGACATGCACCCCCTTTGAAACGATGTTTTAACTGAAGGAAAAAGAAAACAAGAAGAAAAATCTATAATCACAAAGGGCAAAGTGGAAAAATCCTCGAGTCAATACATAGAAACATAATATCGAACATGATACTTGCAAGTCCATTTATATCATTAATTATGCAGAATTTTCGAAAATAAAAAAATCTATTGTAAATTTAAACAAAAATAGACCGCACAGATGAGGATCGAGTCTGGTAATTAATATAAGAGATAATTGAATGATTAATTTAGTTTTAAATATAAGATCTCAATTACTTTTACATCAAATATTTATCCATTTGACTCTCAAGTAATCCTTATAGGCTATTGGTAATTACACATGTTAAGGAGTTTTCATGAAAGGATAATTTCAATGCACATGATTGATAGAGTATTTTAAAAAAGACAATATCAATTTATTGCAAATAACTAAACAAAAATAACCCATAGAGATAAGTACTGGGTCAGGTCATTAATATAAGAGAGAACTGAAAATTTAATTTAGTTTTAAATATAAGATCTCAATTTACTTTGTCTTAAATATTTATCCATTTTGCCCTCAAGTAATCCTTATATGCTATTGGTGATTATACATGTTAAGAAGTTTTCATGAAAAGATAATTTCTATGCACACAATTCATGGGGATATTTTAGAAAACACAATATCAATTTATTACAAATAACTAATTTAACTAATTTTTTAATATTCACAAATTAGTCATCTAACTTTTATATTAATTACTTATTTATTGTCAATTTAATATTGAATAGGTTCCTCTGCTATCCATTCTATTCGATTGAAAGCTATCTTGCAAATGTATGCCAATTTTTTAAAAGAGCTACAACGCTCACAATTTCTTGTCACTCGGTGGGCTGTAAGATGTTTAAAGTATTTCATGACGTGCAACATGAAGAGTAATATTTATCTATGATTTTCTTTCTTCCCCTCTTTCTTTACTAGTATTTCTTTCTTTGGCGTCAGAAGCTTAACAAAAAGGTTTCAATATAAATCGACAGATTTTAATTAAAGTACTTGTGCTTTATATTCAAGACTATACACTTCTCTATACTTCTGACATAATTGTCACTGTGTGATTGGTCATATTACCTTATTCATCATGTGTTTGGATGGAGAGAAGATTAAAAATAATCCATGATACTTCAACAAGATGGTACGGCAAGAGATTTATAATGGAGGGTTTTTCGTGAATTCATTCTTTTTAATACATCAATAGTACTTTAATCTAATGTCAATTAACATTGCATAACAAAGTAAAACCGAGACCTTTAGCAAAACAAAAAGTACAAACTACTCGTAATTAATACATCGATAGTAGTACATGTCTTTAGCAGCGGCCACTGGGTCGATTCTCGCAAAGTTGGGTCAAAGACCTGAACTTGAAGTATGCGTAGCAAGAGCCTGCAATATGCATAAGTTAACGATAATTGCAAACGTATGCACTGTAACTCTAAACACGTATAGAATCTCTGTCTCTTGCTGTCATAGCTATTTTGCCATAATATCATGTAATAATTTGGGGTTAGAACTGAAAATGAAACTCTGCAATTTTATATGAACTTGAAAATATATATATATAAATTTAAAAGTATATTACGTAAAAACATAAGTCAGCGTTTGTTTCACTTACCAGATAGTCCCCACAAGTCTTTCGATCAATGGTTACGATTTATCATGAGAACCGCCATGACATAAAGTTTGTCTCTAATAAAATACAAGAATGTGAAGTAAGAATGCCTGAAATTTCTATTGAGAAATATGGCACCGCAAACTCCCCAAAAAGCCACAGCAAATCCAACTCCCAACCCAATGTAGAAGAAAGACAGAAATTCATCATCTTGGTTGTCAGATTCTATGTTGGAATTCTTGTCTTCATCGTCAGTGCAATTCTTTTGAAGTGGAGGTCCGCATAGATCAGGATTCCCAATATAACTTTGTGCATCAAACCCCTGAAGTTGAGTGCCTAATGGGATCTTTCCAATAAAATTGTTGAAGGAGAGGTTCAAGACTGCTAGAAAAGACAATTTGGCCATACTTTGGGGAATTTCACCTGAAAGTCGATTATTTGCAAGATCGACAGACTCCAATTGTTTCATGTTGCCAATCTCTTTTGGTATGTTTCCCTCAAATTGATTATGAGACAAATTCAAAGATTGTAATCCCGTGAGAGCAAAAATTTCTAGAGGTATTGTCCCGGACATCATATTACTTGATAGATCAACAGAACGTACCAAATTCAAGTTTCGTTTATAGCTCAATCCTTGGCCTTTCATGTGTAACAAAACCTCGTCTCTCACTATGAAAGTGTAATTGAGAGTTCTAGAGCAGTAGTTTAGAACTCCACTATATGAAGAATTAGGGGAAACCATGGCCGCCATGTTTTCTAGGCAAGTTGGGATTGAACCTGATATTTTGTTGTCCGCCAAATCCAATATTATGAGGGAAGTTAACTGGCATATTTGTGGGGGGATATTTCCGTGGAGTTGATTAGATCTCAATCTGATAACCTTAGTTTTGTCCCCAATCCAACTTGGTATGTGTCCTGAAAATTTGTTTTCCCCTAAATCAATGACTTGCAGGAGTTGGCTATTTTTCAGTGACAAAGGTATCTCTCCAAATAAGTTATTTTTATTGAGATGCAAAAATGTAAGGTTAGACAATAAACTCATTGATGGAGGTATTCTACCTCTTAGATTATTGCCACCGAGCTTAAGCACAACCAATGATTTCCAATTCATCCAACAATCTGGCAGTTCCCCAGATAACAAATTATTTGACATATCCAGAGACTTTAATTTGGTTCTCCCCTTTATTCTTTGACACACTAACGGAGAAATAGATCCTCGTAAGTAGTTGTTTGCTATACTGAATTGGACAACATTTCGTGATAACTGAGGAACGTTGCCTTTCAATTTGTTTGAATCCAAATTTATGATTGTAGAGTCCAGTAACACATTAGACATTTCTCCATCAATTGTGTTATCCTCTAAGTGTAAGTATGCTAGTTGGGTCGCAAATTTCCAAAAGTTGTCTTGAGACTCGAAAGAAATTCTTGAATATTTAATTCCTAAGCTGCTTAGACGTTTTTGCTTGTATATCCACGCAGGAAGTTCAGGACCCCTCATGTGGTCCAAGTGAATAGTTTCAAGTTGGAAAGGCGGAGCCCAAAGAGGATCAAAGTCAAAGATCAAGCCTGGTGATCCCAAGAAAAGCAACTTCAGATTTGAGAGTGTGTCGAAATTTCTTTCCGACACATGCCCCGTCAAGTTATTATCACTTAAATCTAGTTCCTCCAAATTCAAGAGTTGTCCAAGACTTGTAGGAAGAGCACCACTCAAGTGATTAGACCTGACAATAAAGGTTTTCAACGATGAGAGATTTCCCAAAGTTGAAGGAACGGGGCCAGAAAAGAAATTTTCACTAAGATCGAGAAGTTGTAAATGTTGAAGTTGTCCTAACCAGTCGGGAATTGGCCCGCTGAGTCTATTGTCCCCCACAGACAATTCTTGTGTTTTCTGGAGGTTCAATAAACCCTCTGGGAATCCCCCTCCGAAATAATTTGAGCGTAGGTTGAGAACAGTGACGCCACTAAGATTGAACAACCAGTTGGGAAAGAAGTCAGAGCTAAATTCATTACTAGTGAGCATAAGAACCTCAAGCGAAGTAAAATTGATAAACTGGAGAGATGGATTTATGTTTCTAAGCTGACAACTTTCAAAATATAGCTCTGTGAGGGCAGGAAGTAGAGTTGCTAATTGAAGCCAGTCAAGTTTTCCTTGAAGATTAATGCCACTGAGGTCAAGATATTCCAAGGAGGGAACACGAGAAAGCCAATGAAGATTATCAAAGTGAAGATCTTCATTATTGGATAAATTGAGATAGTGAAGATTGGAAGAATTTTGGCGTTCAACCAGAGATAGGTTGTTAGAGTTTGTGGTATCCACATGATCATTTCCGACGATAGCACGGAAGTCATGATTGCTCAAATCCAAGTAATTAAGAAACTCAAGCTGATCAAGCAAAGATAGGTGGAGCTCACCTGTGAGACAGTGAGATCTCGTCTCTCCACAATCACCATAAAAAGATTGCAAAGGACAAGGAAGACTGAGCTCGATGACTCTGCCGCTGGTGTTGTCACACCGAACTCCTTCCCATTCACAACAATCTCGCTCGTCGGACCAGGTGGAGAGGATGGCTGACGGATCGACAAGGGTGCGTTTGAAGTTTAGGAGAACTTGGTGGTCTCTTTCATTGCACTGCATCGCGCCTTTGCGGAGCGTGATTGAAAATATCAGGAACCATAGGAGCACAAGATTAGAAATACGGGAGGCCAATGAGGTATCCATTATTACTTGAGATAGAGCCACCAATTGTGGCATGCATATATATATATATATATATATATATATTATATGGCTGCAACATGTAGCGAGTTTAATGCTTATCTCTATGGTATATACCATGACACGTGGTAGCAAATGGCTGAATGGATGGCTTTTGAAAAGTTGAGTCAACTTTATCCGTCAAACAGCAGGACTATTCAAATTATGGTAGTGGGAGGAGAGGATCTTGTATCCTTCCCTTGCCATCTTCCTCCGCTCTCCTCTTTTTCCTTTTCTTTTTTTTTTCCTCGTCATTAAATCAATATTTGAATGGTACATGATTTTCAATATATGACTTTAATCTATTTTAGCAAACAAGCGGGAGGTCAAGGGTTTGAACTACCACTTCTTCACAAATTTATTCAAATAATTACATTAAAGCAAGCTTTTATCCACAAAAAGGGAAGTTGCTTGGATAGGATTAGGCGCCGTGGCGGATTTAGACAGGCATTGCAGCGTCTTATGCAGAATGCCTCTCATTCTTTTCTGTCTTAGAGGCCGCAGTAGATTGCTTTAGGCCCCACGACGGATGATGCATTTTTTATCTCCTTCACTTAGTTCTTCCATCTGTGCTTGCTTTGCGTCCCTGATCTTCCTCTAATTAGCCAAAATAGGTTAAATATTTCTTCCTATCATTTATCTTCCAGCTCTCGCTGCTTCCTACACCAAGAATCTCAGAAGCATTGCACAAATAATTCCCAAATGTTAGCACAAATCAAGCTTCACATTTTCAAGTCATATTTTCCAGCTTTAAGGGAATAACCCTCCACAATTAGGTTCCAAAACCGGCAAAAGATTGTTGAAATAAGCTAAATTGGTAGGAATTTTGAGAGATTATCAATGACTCGAAATCAACAAGTCTTCTCTTTCCCATTATCTTTACGTGCTTAATTTTCTCAGCTTTGTCTCCATCTGACTAGTCAAGCAAGGTGGGATCATAATGTAGGGGAAATCACTAATCTCAAATAAAATTAAAAAAATTAAAGAAAAAACAGGAGAAAACAATTCTCCATAATGTATTTTTTTTATTTATAATTTAATGAATAAATTATGCTAACTTTCTTTTAAAGTGGATAGCAAAAGGAAGGTCGACGATAATTAAAAACCTATGAAGTCTCAGTTTATCATATATTTATATGCCTGATTATATGTCGTGTTTTATGCTTCAATTTAATACATCAGCGCAAGTTTTACGTCCAGGACCTCACTGTTCGAGTCAACGTCACTACAAATAATATAAAAATGGAAAGCCATGTTACAAATTCCACAAATACTAAATGACGAATTGATTGATCTCTAGAAATATGGATGCTTTATAAAAAGTACTATAATGTATTGGCGATCGCTGGTTAAAAAAAAAAAAAAAGTATTGGCGATCGACTGATGTCATGCATTACATCATCAAGACAAGCTCAATCTAAACATGGATGTTGCTTTGGATTTCTGAAAATCCACATAAATTGAAAGAATTTTTTTTAAAAAAATTATGTTACAAAATGGAGGTATTATTATTAATATTAAAAAATTACTATTCATGAAGAATTCTTGACGGCAAAAAAGATTAATATAATTTTTATTCATCAGGTTTGTTTTCATTTTGGTTTTAATTTTTTTCAGTTTCAAAATATGGGTTTTGATAATTCAGGTTTCATTTTATTTAAAATATTAATTCCTATAATCCAATAAAAATTTGGACTATTTTGTCTCTTAAGGGACCAAAACTTATGATTTGAAACTTGAAGAACTAAAACAAAAATGAGAACAACTTTCACGACAAAAAATTATTAATCCAAAAAAAAAATACATGAAGTCTTGGTGCAGAAAACAGTCACTCGAAGTCGCGAAAGGCTGTTACGTGTGAAAATGTTGCAGGAAAGAGAAAGGTGATAGTTGAAAATCCGTAGCTCTATTCGCGCACAACACAATTTCTCCATTTAATTATTCATCTGATTTAATGATTTAAGATCGCTCATTGTAGCGTTAAATTAAATATACTATTTATTTAATTACTACCATAAAAAAGTATTGTTTTTTTAGCTGAAATTTTAAAAAAAAATTGTACATGGAGAAATGTACGTATTGAGGAAAAATGTGGAGAGAATCTAAATTTGCCAGGAAGACTAATAACGCAACAGGTCCCTGTTCTTGATGGGTCAAGACAGTTTGTTTTGTCTTTTTGATCATTCTGCGCACTCGTGTCATGGTTAATAATTTTCATATAATATCAAACAATACCCACACCGAATTAAAACAGAGCTAGAATGGGTTGGAATAATTACACTGAAGCAAGCTTTCATCCATTGTAAGCAAAAGATAGAGAAAATGTTGGAGAGAAACAACCCACTTGGGCCAAGATACAACTTCCTAAAGTTCGATCCTAAGAGCTCATTATTATTAGTGTTTACGTACAATTTGATTGAATGAATTGTAGTTTTGGTTACGTTTTTCTAATTGTAAATTGTGATTTTTAATTCTAGTTCATAAGGATTTAATTTGAGTTGATGGCATTAAGTATATGCACCAAAACCAAAATTCATCTGTTTCCTATACTTTTAATAAGTTTTAATTTTAGTCTTTATACTAACTAAAAGTTAAAGTATTAAATTTAGACTAGGTACATATGATATTATAGGGACCAAAAATCATGGTTTAAAATTATAGAGACTAAAAGTAAATTTTAATTAAATTGTAAGGATCGTATAATGGTACTAACCCTTATTTATACTATCTACTGAGTATAAGCTCATGTTAGTAACAGGATTAGAACAACAATACGCGTGCCATTCTTCAAATTTTTCAATGGAATGCTTAGAAAATTTTATTTATCACAACAATAGCTTGTTGAATCATAGTAGCAGATTACCTGGCTATAATCAGCCTGTCAAATTAAAACGCTGAAATAACAACTAAAAGAATAAATGACAAATTGATTGATCTCTAGAAATAATATCAATACGGAGCATGACTACAAAATTTTTAATCCAAGTGTTCCTTTTCTCTATCTTCATATGCTTAATTTCCTTAACCTTTTCCCGATCAACTAGGACATGGTGGGGATTCGACTTTGCGGTGTAGTCAGCGGACCTACAAGAAAAATAATGAACCAGGACAAGTCATTCTTTCCTCGGAATGAAACAAGTCCATTAAAATACTAGCTCTCTGATTCTTAATATAGGAATTGGTTGACCAATTTAAGTAAATTTAAAAAATTAGTTAAGTTAGTTATTTGTAATAAATATATTTTGTCTTTCCTAAAATATCTTTACTAATTATATATATTAGCTAAAACTACTATTTAATGAAACCTCTAACATATACAATTATTATGAGTATTTTCAAAAAAAGTAAATAAATATGAGATAAAATTGATTAAAGTCTTGTACTTAGAACTAAATTAAAAATTAAACTAATTTTTATATTAAGCACAGAAACTAATATTTTTTTGATAAAGATAAATCAATTCAAATAGAGGAAGTACAGAAGGGTCAAACACGGAAAGTAATGAATGATAGTAGTTTTTTTTTTACCGGCAATGAATGATAGTAGTTTAAAGAAGACAAGAAGAAAAAATTAATTAAAAGGAGTGGATGAAATGGTTTAGACGTGTCTATTCTATCAGAGCTGTCTACGGAGTGCATTCGAAAAACTATTCGCCTCCTATAGGCTGAACAAAAGGATCTGATAAATCACCAGATTACTTTTGCCAATAGTTTTTTTCCAATAACAAGTAACAATATTAATTTATTTTTTTATCCTAACGAATTAGTTAACTATGCCCTATAGATATACTCCTCTGGTCCTTAATGTAAAACCCATTTAACTAATTTGATTAGATTAAGGAAGTTAGGTAAGTTAGTTAATTATAAGAAAAGTAACACATTTTTCCTAAAACACTATAATCATCTTTTTTAATACCTCTTCTCCCTCTTCTATTTGATTATGGTTAAGGGAGTATCTATAGGGGTAATTTGGAGAAAATTGATAAATATGATAAATGGGTCTTATATTTAGGACCAAAACTAACTCAAAAATTGGGTCCTATATTAAGGACCGGAGGAGTATATATTTAAAGATCATATGAAGTATTTTCTTTAGATCTACATACTCCCTCTGGTCTCATTTAATTTATATAATCAAGTAAAAATGCATTCAGCCTGACCAAAAAAAAAAAATACATTCAACACTTTGAAATATTTTTTAAGTGTATTCAGTGTGGTGCTTTTGGCTCAAAAAAAAAAAGCATTTTTGTGGTGCTCCTAAAATATTTTTTTGGTGTAATTTTACAATTAGTAATTTAGCGTGTTACATATATAAAAAAAAAATTTAAGTGTTTGATGCACATAAAAAAAATACTTTTAGAAGTTAGATATACTAAAACATAATTTAGGATGCTTAGTGCACTTAAAAAAATATTTTAACGTACTAGATGTAACACAAATATTTAAGATATTGGATGTACCTAAAAAAATATTACTTCAAAATAAGTGTTGATTCACCTAAACTTTTTGTAAGTTAATTCCAACACTTTTCTTTGATACCCAAAAAATATCATAAAATTCATTAACTCTATCTAAAACTAACTATGTTTCCTATTTTACTCATACTAAATACATCATTAAAAAAAGTTTCCTGCTTTCCCACGTTAACATTGAATAAGGATAAAAAATCATAATAAGTAATCAATGGGATGCTTTATAAAAAGTACTATGATGCATTTACATTACAATTTACATTCACTTTATTTGGCGATCCACTCGTGTCATGCATTACGTCATCAGGACAAACTCAATCTAAACAAATTTTTTTAAAAAAAATTATGTTACAAAATGGAGGGATGATTATTAATATTAAAAAATAATTATTCATATATGAAGAATTCTTGCTGGCAAAAAAAAAAAAAGAATTCTTGGTTGGCGGAGAAAACAACCATCACGCGAAGTAGCGAAAGGTTGTTGCGTGTGAAA